TTTGTGACGTTTATTCAATGGAAGAACATATTGCAAAACTTTTGCCTGCTAGAAAGCATTGCGTCGTACACTGCCTTTTCTATGCTCGAGAACTTTAATAGTAAAAGTGAGCTATATAAGTGGAAATTGTTCCCAGACATCTGCCCAAGGGTGACCTCAGACTCAATAATTCATCTTCTACACTAAGGAAGTAAGGCTAGCATCTCATCCCATTTTTCATCTAGCAGCATTTCTCACCTTCCAACTTATTTTTTTCGAGCTCTCTGAGAAAGCCTCCTAAGACCTTTTCCAACTAAAACTGTTGAGGCCCTCGGAGGTTTAAGATTAATTACGGACTACTCAAACAATATCTACTTGCAAGCCCAAAAAATGTGGATATTGCTATGGCTGTGAATAAAGCGAATAGGCAATTTCATGCCAAGTCTGATGTTCATTCAATTCACTATGAGCTTGAATAGAATTAAATGGTATGCTGATAATGATCTCTCCACACTCTCCGCGCTGCACAGGAGTTTCTTGAACATTTACTCTAAAATATTATACAAGTACAACTTCAACAAGTTGGTTAAACAAAAAATACCCAATAACATTTCCTTGCAGGAGTTCTTTAATTTCAAAAGCCAACATTGAATAGGAATCAAGTCTTAATTCTCCAAAAGAAAAAAAAAAAAAAGACAGAAGCATTATGAGCAATACCTGATCCCCTTTCCTGTAGTTTCTTTTAGTATTTTACATCTCCTCAATTTATGCTGCATTTGAAAGCTCAGATAACTCAGGGCCTTTTGAAACCTCAACGCTGATATCCTTCTCCTCCTCCGTTGTGGCTCTGACCACCAAACTCTCCTCAGCAACCGACCCATCTGCAACACTCTTTATTTTTCATTTCAGTGCCAAAATCTCCCATACCACCATTGGATTCATGAACCTGCACTCCTTAACTATAATTCACCTCCTCAATCTGGGGCTTAGAATCACTTTTTTCTTCTACAGTTCCAACCAGTTTCTCAGTATTCCCACCTTCTGAATCATTTATCTTATCTGTAACCTTCTCGTTACCTACACCAGCTTCCACTACTGTCCCTGAATCATTTTCAAGAATTTGAGCTCTCTGGCTCCAGCTCAGCTCCTTCCTCTTTCTCAATGTGCTGTCCCTTGCCTCTCTCCTCTATCTCAGCTGTGGCTTTAGGCCCTCTCGCTTCCATTCCCTCTCTTTCCATTGGCTCTTCACCGATCACGTCCATATCCAACAGAGCAAGAGGTCTCAAATCCCATGTGCCAGAACTAACCTTGCTTCCATCACTTGCCACTACCGACACCAATTCCTCCTCACCCTTTGAAGCAAGCAGTGACTCGCTTGATCATGAATGTGCACACACATTTAATGGCATCAGCTAGAGGACTGATGGTCAGCCGAGCACAAGTGATGCTACTTATAAAAGATTTTGATAGAACAAAGTAAGAATTATGGCCAATAATAGCAAACAACTCAGCAACTTTTTTGTTCAATAGGTTAAACACGTCAACATAAACTTTGTTATCAAGATTTACCTGACAATCTAAATAGGCTACTAAACTGTTTTCATCGAAAAATACCTAAATACAAATTGATTTGACAAAAAATAAATAAAACTTACTGCTACCTGGTATTGTTTCTTCCTTGTGACACCGAAACAGATGGCAACATAGAGACAAAATTACCCATTTAAGTCTGTAAACCCTGAGTTCTGATAATGAAACAACATAAACCTAATACTATGGCAGAATGTGATTATCATCCCTTCAGTGCAATTTCAAAGTACTTCAACTGCTTGATATGTGGTTTACTAATTGGTACATTCATACTCTTCATAAATTCTGTAGTGTGGCTAAAACCCATCTCTTTCAAATTCTTATTCTAAACTTGTGGGTCCAAAAGCTAATCATAAATAATTTCACAATGAGTAAAATGAGTACTACTTTACGTAGCTTGACTGATGCATCATGAAAGTAAATAATTCATAATTGAGCCTTAATAAGGCATTGAAAAAATCATACTGAAGAAAATCTTTAATCATGGCACGTGAAGAAATCATTCATGCTAACAAACTGTACAAGCAAAAGGGTACAATGTTGTATTAAAAATAAAAAAAAGGCCTGATTGATAATTAACAAAATCTAAAAGCAACTTAATGCTTACTTCGAGTGAAAAATTAATGTTTTACAAAAAAACTGACTAAAGCTAGGAAAGAAAGGATTTCTTTTTACTAACATATTAGCAGTTCGAGTTTTTGTGTATGTAATACCACCAGCCCTCACCCCCAAACAAGCGAGCCATCCCTGACTTTAGGTCTAGATTTTCGTAAATTATTTTCCTTCTCTAAACACTATTTCTATTTACTACTACTTATCGTTTTGGGCAGCCATTGCTTATTCACAGCCTTTCATATGCTGAACTATTCTTTTTTTTTTTAAAGAAATTTGGTGGTTAGCCAAGTGAAAATTAACAAGCATCAAAAAGAATATACTCTAATCCATAAACTTATATGCAAAACACTTAATAAAAGCTCAGAAATCCTAACCATAGCACCAAGCCTAAGAACCATGGAAAAACATACCTGATTTTATTTGCACCCTAAGCTCATCAAAAAGTTATCGGGCTTTATATCATGGTAAAGAAACCCTCTTGAATGCATGTATTCCACTATCTTGCTAATGCATACGAAACAATAGACAGCAATTAGCATACATCAATTCATGAAATGAATATTAAGGAAACTATATACTTCCAAATTACAAAGTAACCTAGTAGCATACATTGTTAAAACAAATGTTAATTCAGTTTCATAAAGAAAAAAAATGCTTTTAGGATTACATTAGCAAACATTTATCTTGGTTATTTCTACTTGAAAAAGGATTGAATTGAAAGAGTTCTGCAGTTCTATATTTCTTGTTTAGTCCAAATTATTTATTTAGTCCGCATTATATGGAACTCTCACATGAAACAATAGATGGCACTTAGCTTTCAAACTCTATTTTTCAGCATTATGGATAACAGAATGAATCAGTAAACATTGCGGATCCACGGAAGCATCTCAAGAAAATCACATCAAAATAAGTAAACTCCCCAAATCATACAAGAGCGCTGCAATACCAAGCAAAGGGTTTGGTTAAAATAGCCAGGTTCCACCAAGTATACAAATGGAACATGACCGAACATGTCCTCTGATTATATCTTCTAAATCGACCAAAC